GGGTGGGGGCAGCCGCGTGGGCGGCCTTGTACGCAAGAGGTTCTGAACAGGGGGAGTTGTAAGGAAGAAGATAAAAAAATGAACTGATATCTTTTTTGTTTCCCTTGTTTTTTTTTTCGCTTTTGCGCTCTGATATTTATGTGATGATATATTAATGCAAAGAGCGGGCTATCAATCTACGATCCATGTCTTCCTTCATGTGCCCATCCATCCGTCCGCCCATTCACCTCCTCACCCATCCGTACGTCGTCCTTTCAGATATTCGTCCGCCCGTCGGTCCATTCACTAAGCCATCCATCTCTTGATCGGTGCTCTTTGACGTTAGTCGAGGATCGCCAACGTGTCCTTCGACGTTAGTCGAGGATCGACTCTCGATCGGTGCTCTATTGATCCCTTTCGCGCATCGCTGTCTACTATCCCCTGATGTCTGTCCTCTCCTATACCCATCCGCTGTCCTCACCTTGCATGTAACCATCCACAAATCGAGCGATCAATCCATTCGCTAACATCCGTCCACGTGTCCGTCGGTCGTTCATCGATGGGCCATTCTATTTACATCTACCATCTGCACATGAATAGAACGCCTGGTCGCTGCAACCATCCGTGAATTGAGCGACCAATCTATGAATCGAACGACCAATCCATAAATCCAGTGATCAATCCATAAATCCGGCGACCAATCCATACGTTAACATCCGTCCGTCGGTCGTTCATCCATGGGTCATGCTTTTTACGTCTATCATCTGCACCTGATTAGAACGCCTGGTCGCTGCAGGCATCCATAAATCGAGCGACCGATCCATGAGTAGAGCGACCAATCCATATGCTGACATCCGTCCACGTGTCCGTCGGTCGTCCATGCATGGGCCATTCTATTTACGTCTACCATCTGCACCTAAATAGAACGCCCGGTTGCCCCAAATTACAGCTATAAGGACCGTGCGTTTTATTTGGGGGAAGACGGTGGCATATAGTTTTGGGTTAGTGTTTGTCTATCAGTCCGTGTTCCAGATGGTCACCCTGCCTGCGATCCGCGAATCGATTCACGGATCCGTCGATTGGACACTTACAGTATGTAAATCTCAGCCAATTTCCACCAATCGGCGCATCCAACGACCGGTCCATGTGGCCTTGCTCCACCACTAAACCACATGCACAGACGACAAGAAACATGTCGGTGTATCTTTCCATCTCCTAGCGGAAGATTCGTTCTCATTTTCACATTTGGTGAGTAGTAGAGCGAGGCCCATAAGCTCATGTCCGTCCACGTCGCCGCCGTCCGTTCCTTGATTCATCAGGATCAACGAATCGTCGCCATCCGTTCCTTGATTCATCAGGATCAACGAATCGTCGCCGTCCGTTCATCAGGATCAACGAATGATCCATCAGGATCCATATACCACCTATGATGTNGATTCATCAGGATCAACGAATCGTCGCCGTCCGTTCATCAGGATCAACGAATGATCCATCAGGATCCATATACCACCTATGATGTGTCAGCAGTCTATCGTCTACGCCCTTCCGGTCGATAGCCATGACTTCGTCCGTTCCTTGATCCATCAGGATCAACGAATCGTCGCCGTCCGTTCCTTGATTCAGCAGGATCAACGAATCGTCGCCGTCCGTTCATCAGGATCCATATACCACCTATGATGTGTCAGCAGTCCATCGTCTACGCCCCTCCGGTCGATAGCCATGACTTCGATCAAGCTCAGGATCTCCCTTCTGGATATTCCTTTTGTCTGTATCTCTCGTCAGGCCACGTGTCCCCCTCCTCTCTGCGCTGATTCGTCTGTCATGTTGCCTCTCTCTGTCGCTCACTTTACTCTCTCTCCTTCTTGTTGGCTATTGGTGTCGATGTCGTGCGTTCATGCTCGCGCTATTCTGTCTCCTTCGCCTCCCCCCCTCCCCCTCTCCCTTCCCCTCTCCCTCCCCTCTTATCCCCCTCTCCTCTCGCCGTTTTGCTTGTCATCCTCTTCCTCTCTCTTCTCGCGGAATATATGATGTCGTCTGGTTTTAATGGTGTCGGATATCCTACGACCTCTATCTTTGGTGTTTTATTCTTTTTTCCTTTTTTTCCTTCTTTTTTGTTCCCCTCCTCTCTTTCTCCCTTCCTTTTTTTTTTTTTTTCAAATAAAGGCGAAGACCTTAAAGTATCCTTATCGAACTGACCAGCCCCAGGTAATTCAGAATCAGTCTGTTCTGTTCATCTCATTGCTTCCAGTGGAGTTGGAACCGGGGTCTGTGTATTTCAACAGTTCAGGGGGGGGTGTACCAACTGAGCTACCTTCTTCAGGATCAACGGATGCAACGTACTGCTGTATTTAGACGGAAAGATACCCCACATACAGGTATAATGACCGTACGTTGTATTCCGGTGAAGAAGGTAGACCCGTTGGTGTTCTTTCGTTCTTGTTTTTGTCGACCCTCTCTTCTTTTTGATATCCACCCGCTGCGACGATACGTTGTCCTCCCTCTTTTTTTTCGATGTCTGATCTGCAACCGTTGCTCGCTCTGATGTTGTCTCTCTTCCGCACTTTTCTTCTCCGTTTTTTTCTCTCACTTGTTTGTGTTTCTGTTGTCCACTTACTCTCGTGCTATCTTCTCGTCTACTTTTCTCCTGTTTCTTGTCTGCCCCCACCTTTCTCTCCTCTCTCTCTCTCTCTGTGTGTGGCCATGTCTGTTCTCCTTGGTCTTCGTCGATCTATCTGATGTGGTTGCTGTTTCTCTCTGTGTGTATGTCTCTTCTCGTCGACTTTGCTCCTGTTTCCTGACTGCCACCGCCTCTCTCTCTATCTCTCTCTTTCTCTCTCTCTCTCGCTTTGGCCATGTCTGTCCTCCGTGGTCTTCGTCGCTCTCTCTGATGTGGTTCCCGTTTCTCTGTGTCTGTCTGTCTCTCTCTCTCTCTCTCTCTCTCTCTCTCTCTCTCTCTCTCTCTCTCTCTCTCTCTCCTGCGGCGGAGGAATGAACTCTTTATCACAACTGCTCTTCCTTTGTTTATCCGGTGTCTCTTAGCTTCGAATCTGTGGCTATTTTTTCACTGGTCTTCTCCCGGAACGAACGGTCATTTTTTGGCTGAATTTGGGGCAACTTTCAGTCTAAATACAGCGATAATTACCGTACGTTCTGATCGGGCCAAAAGGGGTAGTCTTCCACTCTCTCTTTGCGCCTTATCTTTGGTGTTGTTAGGACTGCAGGGTAGGAATGGCATGGTCAGCCATCGAACTCCCTAAATAGCCATCCCTTGAGCAGAGTCGCGTTGATCACTGCCTCGAGATCGGTCCACTTGTCTTTTTATCCACCCTATGTTGCTGAATGGTGGCACACCCATTGAATTGTTGATTAGCACGTATACAAATAAATCATCTGTATACGTGATGCTATGGGCACAAGAGCGTTGCCTTTTATTTACTTCGGCCTGGGCACAAGAGCGTTTTCTTTTATTTATTACTTCGGCCTCTCGCTCAACTCACTCACTCAAAGACTGGAACTACGAACCAAGTAGAATAGAGAGCCGTATGATAGGTGACTACCGTTTTCACCCGAATAGAACGCCCAGTCATTATCACTGTATCTAGACTGAAAGTTGCACCAAATACAGCTATAATGACCGGGCGTTCTATTCGGTGTTCTATTCGGGTGAAGACGGTAGCTCGTACGGTTCTGAGAGGACTCGAGTACCCCTGGCATGTTTTGCTCAGTGGGGAAGTTCAACTCTATTGAATGTACAAGGAAGGAATTTAAGGTAGTATTTTACACATGTTGAGTCATCGACTGGTTTCTTCAGCCCTTTTTTTTTTGACTATCCTATGGAAGTTTCTGCCGCATTACGTTGTATTGTGTCTCATATTCTTTCTATCGTAGAGCTGCAGTCTAACCTTCCCATAGTACAGGGCATGGTAGAGATTTGAGAGGATAAGAGCGGGGTAGGGGTACGAACGGTCGAGGTCGCTTGTAGGCAGTAGGTAGGTAGGGAGTGCTGTGTCATGTCGCGGTCCAGTTGCAGCTCAGTCCGTAAGAAAGGGCCCACGGTGGACCGAATATTTGTTGGCTGCAGCAGGGCCTGGCTGTAGAGTGTCAGGACTCACCTGGGAGAGGCTGGAAGATGCACAAAAGGCAGTGCAGGATCATGCTATAGCAACTATGCGACTGCCCCCTGACCCCGGAAGTCTGAAAGGGGTAGCCTGTGTAGGGGAAGGTCATCAGCAGTGCGGGAACCAGGGATCGTCTTTTGATCTTTTTAGAGGGAGGAGAATTGGATATAGTCTCTACGGATGACATATAGGTTGGTGGCGATGGTGGGTACATTTAGGGAGGGGATTACATTGTCGTTGCGACCTGTAGTGGAAGCTCTCAGCTTATGGCCAGATTGCCATCTCTAGGGCCACAAGGAAGAGTGGGGGAAGAGGAAGGCCGCTCGTGGAGTCTATTATTTTTATTATTTCCGTGTGTGCTTGCCCCTCCTCCCCTCCCCCCCGGCCCCTGCGAGGAATTGCGTTTGCATCAGCAATGGGACTATCTCAGGTCTATGTAGGGAAACCTGACGCTAGCAACCAGAATCGCAGCAAAGTTTGACTCCCAAGAACAGGCCCGGATTTCAAACGCTAAGAGTATATGTATGTCATCGAGGGGTATTTGAGGCCTACCCTCATGCCTCACAGCCTTTAGCAATCCCATCCGGTGTTCTAGCATGCTACAAGGTATAACAACGGCGTGAGTTCGAACCGCTGCCTACTGATTGGATGGCCTCTCTCGCTCGCTCGAGTTGAAAAAAATTATTAAAAAAAATTGAGAGGAAAGCGCGTATATCTTCAAGTAGAATACGTTTTATGGAATCATCTATCCTGTTGGTGTTTACTTGTGTTGCCCCTCTAATTGCTGGGTGTTCATGCTTTTTTTTTTTTTTTTTTCCTGAGGCTTTTGTGGTCAGTGCTTTATTTTTTTCCTGATGCATTTTTGTCCGGGTGGATTTGTTTTCTTCTGATTGTCATTTGCAGGCCTCGGATCAGCTTGGCCGCCTTTGTCGGGTGCATGATTCCTGTCTTTGTTGGGTTCTGCTTTCTGCTCCCAGGATGCTCCTGCCTATGGCACAAGGTTCATTACTGCGACATGTGCGGTGGAAAGGTGGTCTACATTCCTTTCTCTTTCGCTTTCTCTGTTCGTCTTTATCCATTTTTCCTTTTTCTTTAACAAGGCTTTTGTTTTAACGAGTTTTTTTTTTTTTTTTTTTTGGAGGAAGAAGAGGGTTTCTCTAAAATGGTGGAAAACACAATATTATATAACCGACAGTCTGTAGAGTTTTCTGTCTGGTGTGGGTGAGTGATAGCCTGCGTTGATGTTCGTCACAGGTACCTTGAGGGCAGTGGTTGGTTGGTTGATGTTCGTCACAGCTGGAGAATGCACTTCTCCATCAGAATACACTTCTCCTTTCTCCTTTGGCATCATGACAGAAGAGCATATGAAAGCGCAGGGAAGCTGCAGGTTGTGCATTTCCCTGTTGATGGTTCCCCATCATCCGTCTGTTAGTCTGTCTGCTCGCTCGCCCGTCTGTCTGCCGGTCGATCGGTCGGTTGCACGGTCGAGCGGGTGGACTTGGGGTCTCTGTCGTTCTGTCTCTCTGCACCCCCAGCGAACCCATTGTGCCCCTGTCTCCCTCTGTGTTATTGTGAAGGAGGTGCGAAAGAAATCTTGCCCATAAAGTGATGCAGAGATCAGGTTTGTCTTGTTGACGACAAAGGGCGATGGGTCCTAATTGCGACTAGTGTTATTGTGCGTTGTTTGTTCGTATGGATGCGCTACCTTTTGGTGTGGTACGCGAATTGCAGGTGTATGAGGTGAAGAAAAGCGATCCTTGCCTAGTCATGGATCCCGCGAACTGGACTGTTCAGAGCTATGCTATCCCCGCTTGATCTGTCAATGCTCAGGCATTTGAGGTGTTCGGTTTCACAGGTGTGTTTGTACAGGCAACTCCAAAGACTCTGCTGGACTTGCAGCTATATACTCGACAACGTTGTTGCTGCCGGTTTGAGAAGCAGCAGTACTGAAGTGTTTCACAGGTGTGTTTGTACAGGCAAATCCAAATACTCTGCTGCTAGACTTGCAGCTATCTGCTCGATAACGGTGTTGCTGCTGGTTTGAGAAGTAGCAGTACTGAAGTGTCATGAAGATGATTATAGGGGAGCACAGAGAACAGGAAAGCGACGGAAAGGTGCACAGTACGTGCTTGGGCTTTTTCCGAAGGCAGTCGTCGACCGGCCTCCCCCGTCATGTGCAGAAGAATGGCGAGCTGCCGCTCCCACCCATGTCGCGGATCTGTCTTCAATTCCTTTTGAGTGTGAAGTGGCGTCATTGGGCCCGAAGCAACGGCCGAGACGAGCACCAGGCTTAGCGATCAACGTGGTGGTATTGACACGCTTGAAGCCGAGATGAGCACCTAGGCATGGGACGACGGCGCTTGAAGCCCCAATGCTTGTTAGTGTTTTTTGGTGCTTTCGTGCTACACGTAAAAGGAAGGGCTGGTGCAATTGCTTCCGACAGCAGGGCGCTTGAAGCCCCAACGCTTGTTAGTGTTTGGGGGTTTCGTGCTCCATGAATAAGATGCGTCTCAGCTGGTGATGTGGGGGTTTGTTATTTCTTCCGCCAACAGCAGGTGGACTTGTCTGGCTTGTAAGTGCACATGCCTGTGACGCTTTGTTCGCGCTCTGTGGGATTTCCACTCCCAACTTTTCTAGGGAGTTCCCCGACTTCTCTGTGAAGATGCTACAGCATTGCGTTAGTGAGGTTACAGTGTGAACGCTGAAGTAATACGAAGCATGCGATGAACGGTGTTGTTCATTCCATCGTATGCACGATGAAGGTACGCAGCACATATGCAGTACATCCCGTCGTAGGCCGATACGTCTGCCGGCAGGACGCGGAAGGTTTAGCAACGAGCAGAGGGAATGGATAACCGTGTTGTATAGAGGAGACTTTCTTGCTCCCACTCGTTGCGGGGGGATCTACACTTTGAGCTTCTTTTTGTACAAGTGTTATGCAATCCTGGTTTGTCGATAGGGGTCCAATAACACCCATCAGGGATCTAATCAACGGACATCTGATCGCCCTCGCCACACTGCCCTGAAAGCCGTAAAGTGTTTCAGTAGCTGCTAGACTTTTCTGGAGTTAGGTTTTCAAGAGTTTTAGGCCCTGGCGCCACACAGCTCTCTTGGAAGAGGAACTCTCCGGAATGAAGTATGCAAAAGACACATAATGGAGGGTGACGCAGGGCGTGATGAGTCTCAAGCTGTGAAAGGACATTTTACGGCTTTGTTAAATTGTTTTCTTTCAAGAATCATCTGCATAACGGCCTGAAAACTTTTGAGAATCAAGAGTGCGTCAAGGGGGTGTGGCCGAGGACGTGTGAAAACCTGAGCATTGCAGACCTGGGGTTTCGAGCGTTTAAAGAGAGCCTCTTTCAAAAGCGTTTCAAGAGCCACTCTGGCAAGTCTTGAGAGTTTTCTTGTGCACCAACTCTCAACAGGCTGTGCAGCGATATGGAAACACTTGCATGGCGTGGCGAGGCGAGGGGAGGTGAGGCCCTATATCTGCAGTCTATCGCTGGGGCCAAGTCGGTCAGGTGATACGGTGAGATGAAATGTGGACGGGAGGCGAGGCGAGGCGAGGCGAGGCCCTATATATCTGCAGTCTATCGCTGGGGCCAAGTCGGTCAGGTGATACGGTGAGATGAAATGTGGAGGCGAGGCGAGGTGAGGTCCTATATCTGCAGTCTATCGCTGTGGCCAAGTCGGTCAGGTGATACAGTGAGATGAAATGTGGATGGGAGGAGGATAGAATAACAACGGATTATGCTGGGGAACGCGAGCAAGGGAGAATGATTTGAAGATCTTTTTGTAAATACATAACCATGTTGCACACAGCGGAAATTGCAAATTTAATTATTAGTAGGGAAAATTAAAAATTTCTAACTGACGCAAAAGTGAAAAAACTGAGCCGTTATACTGACAACTGTTATCTCTTGTGGTCGATCATGCACATTGCATTTTTTATTTTTTTTATTTTTTTGCACAATCTGGTAAGAGAACGCCACGGTTTGAGCAAATTAATTTTTGCCCTAGAAAAAAAGTTGGGCACCAACCTGCAGGTTGGGGGTCATTTTTTGTCCAGCGAGGTTTTCGTCCACACGTGTCTTAAACCGCCGGCCACTACCTTTCTCATATGTGATATGTCGGCTGTGGGGTGGGTCCACCAATGGTCGCAGAGGCCGGTAGCAGCCGATGAAGAATACCTGCGGCCGCCCGCCCCGCGGCAATTTTTTCGGATGAGGTCGTTTTCGCAAATGGGACAACAACTGCAAAAGGTACTGGTGCTTAAACAGGACTACTTTTTTAAGTAGAGGGTTGCAGATGGAGAGGAGCGGGGGTTTCAGTGGTTGGCGGTTGACGCTGCTGATCTTTGCATTCTGGCAAGGGTGGCTTCAGGGTGCCGGCACGACAACTGGGCCGTGACGGTTTTCTTTGTCCGGACTATAAGAGCTCTCGCCACCCCTGGTCCTCGGACTCCTCACTACCCCTGTCAGCGTCTCCTTCGTCGTTAGGTACTTTTTTTTTCTTTGCTGCTGCTTTTTAAGCTTTTCAGCTGCAAGCTGCATGCGGTAGGAGCAACAGGAGTTTGTTTCACACATGCAGTGTCAGGGGTGGGGATAGTGGAGCAGGTTTGTAGTAGTACTGTTTATTTCCGAAGATGTGTTTTGCTGCGAGTGAGTTGTCGCTGCTTTGCTGAGTGCTTCTGCTGCTGCTTCTCTGCATGGAAATATTTGGACTGATGACTAATCGATCGCAGACACCTCGCATGCTGATGTGAATGTGTTTTCTAACAGACATAGTCGTTACCCTGTTTCCCATTTCCGTTTCTGCAAATTGGTGTCTGGCTTTGCTGTTGTTCCTCTTAGACTGCTTTGGGGTCTAGTGCAACGTCCCGTCAGACTCTCCAGTCAATTGATGACATCATGAAGGATGAATCATTAAGTGCGTGAGAGAGAGAGAGAGAGAGAGAGAGAGAGAGAGAGAGAGAGAGAGGAACGTGGGATCGTCTTCTTTTTTGGCAGCATCACTAAGGGGGGGAGGGAAGGGATCAATCGGACGATCTGGAGGTTCCAAGAGATTACAGGTTTGGAATTCAAAGATTGGACCAAGATTATTACCCCGGCAGTGGCGATACAGCCCCCCTCAGAGTTTGCAGGCGTGTTTCCACCCCACCAACTCTGGCTGTTGAATTTACAGCTTCCCCTCAACGAAGGAGCCGTGCTGGAGGCCCAGCTGAGAAAACTGATGACACCAACAGATCGTCCAGGGATAATACTGCCTACTCGGCGGCCCCATTGGGGGCTGAAGACGCTGCGCAGTCTAAAAAGGATCTTGACTTCTAGCCGACGCCCGGGAATGGACCCGGTAAACAGATGTGTAACATTGATGTAGTCAATGGGATGCTGGACCCAGTTTCCGGCAGGTGTTGCACCCCACCAATAGACCGGAGCAACTGTCGCCAGGCCCACTAGGGAGGGACGCACACATCCCCCCCCCCCCCCCCCCCCCCCCCCCCTGCCCCTCTCGTAGGTTGTAGCAGAGCGTTAAAAAAAAAACAAAAAAGAAAAACGCTTTACACTCGCCCTACGTGACACCCGCGGCATAGGCCGTGGGCAACTCGGCCACCGCGGCTGAAAAAGTCGGCCGCGGCCGCAGCCAATGAGGCCCTGTCCGCGGCCTGTTTTTTTAATATTTGTGTGGTTTGGTTGATTGATTGATTTGTTTGATTTGATTTGATTGATTGGTTTGGTTGATTGGTTTGGTGGATTGATTGATTGATTGATTGATTATGTGTGTGTGTGTGTGTGTGTGTGTGTGTGTGAGAGAGAGAGAGAGAGAGAGAGAGAGAGAGAGAGAGGG